CAAGTGCTTATCAGAGTCTTGTTTTCCAGCCTGCTGGAAAGCAGCATCTGTTATCCCTGTTCTTAAAAGTTTTGTAGAGCAATCTGACTCATCTAACTACCGTCCCATTAGCCTTCTTCCTATCATAAGCAAGGTGTTTGAATCTTTAATTAACAGACACTTAATCTCTCATCTCGAATCTCATAACCTACTTTCTGATCATCAGTATGGATTTCGATCTTCTCGTTCTACGGCTGATTTGCTATCAGTAATAACCAATAGGTTTTATCGCGCATTAGATAAAGGTGGAGAGGTTAAGGCCATTGCTCTTGACATTTCTAAAGCGTTTGATAAAGTTTGGCATGCTGGTCTCCTCCATAAGCTTTCTTCTTATGGTGTGTCTGGAAACATCTTTAAGATTATTGAATCCTTCCTTTCCAATCGTAGTATAAAAGTTGTCCTTGATGGACAGCACTTTTCTTCTTATTCTGTAACCTTAGGGGTTCCCCAAAGTTCAATCCTTGCCCCTATACTCTTTTTAATTTACATTAACGATCTTCCAGATATTCTCACATCTAAGGTGGCATTGTTCGCTGATGATACTACCATTTATTCTTGTCACGATAAGAAGCCAACTCCCTCTGATTGCTTGCAGGGGGCATTTGAGCTCGAAAAGGATCTCACTTCTGCTACAGCATGGGGCTCGCAGTGGCTGGTGAACTTTAATTCAGATAAAACTCAATTTTTTTTGGCCAATCGTTATCGCAATAATTTAGACCTTCCTATATTTATGAACGGTAATGTACTCGATGAGTCTCCTACCTTTCATGTTCTAGGATTAACTCTTACTTCTGATCTTTCTTGGAAACCTTATATCAAATCCGTTGCAAAATTAGCATCTGCTAAAGTTGCTTCTCTTTATCGAGCTTGTCACTTTCTTACTTATCTCAAATGCGGCCTAGTATGGAATACTGTTGCCATATCTGGGGGGATCTTCTAATGATGCCCTTTCTCTTTTAGACAAGGTGCAAAAACGCATTGTAAACATAGTTGGACCTGCTTTTGCAGCCAACCGTCAACCTCTGTCACATCGTAATGTTGCTTCTCTTTCTCTTTTCTACAAATACTATAATGGGCACTGCTCTAAAGAGCTATCGTCTCTTGTGCCATCTACTAAAATTCATTCTCGTGTTACTCGTCATTCAATTAAGTCTCATCCTTTTTCTGTTACTGTTCCCAAGTGCTCCAAAAACTCTTATTCGTCTAGTTTTTTTCCTCGAACATCAGTTCTTTGGAATTGGCTTCCTTCATCTTGCTTTCCTGATTCATATAATTTGCAATATTTTAAGTCATCTGTCAATCGTTATCTTGCTCTACAATCTTCATCTTTTCTCTTCCAGTAACTTCCAACGCTAATAAGTGGTTGCTTGCAACCTTGTTGGAAGCGAAGATAATAAAAAAAAAAAAAAAAAAAAAATTATCATTAATATAATTTCCTTACAAAGAAAAAAAATTAAAAAATTATTTCCTTCTAAGGAAAGAACTATTCAAGAATTATTTCCTTGTAATTTAATATTTTCTGAATTAAATCAAGTAAATATTTCCTTGATTTTAATAGTTTTTAATTATTAATATGTTAAGTGGATTGTTATCAAATACAAACTTAGGTTAAATTTTGTAAAGCAGAGTTTGATTTAGTGAAGTCAGATTTAGTGAATTGCCACAATGCCAAATCAAGCAAAGATTCATATAAACCAAAAGTTTGTTAGCTTGCTCTGTCTGAAAAAATGTTTAAGATAGCTTACTACTTTCCAAGCAGATCGAATATGCCAACTGTACAAGACAAAGATCAATATCAGTGATACTCAAGTATCAAAAGGATTCTGTGAATGGTGTAGAACTACTTTGCGCAGGAAACAAGAGGGGAAAGAAGTTGCACTCCCTTTTTCGTTTGATTTTAAGTCAATGCAGGTAAGACCTGAAACAAGAGACACGATGTGTTGTTGTCTAATATGCTGAATTGGTCAATCAAAGCTGCAAGAAAAACATCCTCTTGTAGAGCAAACCACCATTGAGAAAAAACTAAATGTGTAATGCAGCACATGTCTCAGCTCTTTAGGAAAAGGTTTACCCCACCAATGCTCTTGAATAATGTTCAGGGAAAATGTTCAATCTTTAGCACCAAAATATGCCAAAGCAGCCAAACAAATCGCATCTCAAGTTATTTCCAATAAAGTATTATCCCCGGAAAGAACTATTTTACTTGCTAATGCATCCAGCAGGCCTCCATTTACAGTTACCCCTGGTAAATATTTACACTTAAATAATTTTTACATAAATATTGAAATAAAGTCTTGATTATTAAGAAATAACACTAGAAAGATTTCAGGAAGTAAATATTTAACAAATTTCTAGTTTCTTTAAAAATGAAATAACTTGAAAGTTTTATCTAACCTTACTAAATATATGTATGTTTTAAATATATAATATTTATGTTTTGGTTTTAGGCCAAAGTAGTGCTCAGCCACCAGCAAGCACTCCAAAATTGACCACTCTAGGCCTTGTAAATTTACAATTAAATACAAGCCTGTCAAACAGCAAATTAAAGAAACTTGTTAGAAACAAGATAGTAGAGCCAAATTTCTACATGAATTTTCTAAAAGCAGGTAAACACTTGAGGGATTTCTTCACCTGCAGTTACTTAAAAATCACAGACAGAAAAGGAGATTCTGGAACAGTTCAGATTGTTGCTCACTGCAATGATTTATCAAGTTTTGTGAATCATGTTATTCAGTCCCACAAAACTTCTGGTGGCTATTATGTTAAGGTTAAAATTGATGGTGGCAAAGGTTTTCTCAAGTTTTGCCTAAGCATTGTCGGTACTGCGTTAAAAGATGAAACCAGCTCACTAAGACAACAACCTCTCACTCAAAATACTGGTAAAGACACTGGAGTCATAAGACAAATTCTTGTTGGGGTATCAGAATTTGCCAGAAACACATTCCAATATTAAACAAATTTGATCACTGATTAATGCAAATGGAGTTAAACTAATTTTGGCTTGTGATATGTAAGTTGCAAATATAATTTGTGGTCTTCAAACCCACTCACATGGTATGATGTCAAATCCGAGTGTCTTGTCTAATTTGGAAACTTACAAACACTGGGCTCAATCAATTCAAACCTTTGAGTCTTTTCAGCAATCTGGCGGGGTTGTTGCTAATGCAAAGCTGTTTGGCAATGTCATTCAAAAGCTAATTATCTGTGGGCCTGTCAATGTTCTGATTTTGGTAATCATCCCACTAATGAAATTGCATCTTCTCAACCATCTTTTAAAGATCCTTAA